TATGCATTAAAAATATATTTTATTTTATATTAATTTTTTATTAAATATAAAAAAATTAAAAATTAAAAACGGACAAAATCTTAATAAAATTTTATCCCCAAACATATAATTTTCCGTAAAGTAATTTTTTAAACTTTTTATAGAATAATTTTTTCAAACTAAACTTTTTCAGTAAAATCGACATCTGTTGACAGGCGCCAGCTGTCTATAAAATGGGCCCAAACCCATGTGCTGCTGTCTACGGATGAATAATCTTGCAACATCAACTTGTCTGCCATCTCGATCTTCAAGTAGCGACAAGAGCTTTCCCAATTCCATTCACTAATTTAAATCTTTTAATTTAAGATTAAAATTAATGTTTTTTTTTTTAACATGGATTAAAATTAATGTTTAAATATGTATAGTCATAAATAATTAATTTTTTTATCTGTAAAAAAATCTTACACTACTCCCGAGGAGTGCTAGAGCACTCCCTCTAGCACTCTCCATTTCAACACCCTCTTCTTTGCTTCGCCTCGTCACTCGTACATTTAAATTTTTGATGGGCAAACTGATGGCACCCTCCGGCTTCAAGAACATCATTAGTCATTATTTTCTTTTTTTGAACAATGAAAATTTTTTTGGGAAAAGGAGAAAGAGAACTTGGGATTAGAACTCAAGTCTCGGTAGTTCTAAACACGTTCTGTAAACAGGGGTCAATAAGCCCGAAGTGCTGGACATCATTAGTGATTATTTTCTTTTATTTAAAAGTTAAATTTTGATAGTATATTTCTCTTTCCTTTGGTATCCATCTTGGTTAGCATCCTTATCTCCATCACTCTCTTCCCAAAGCAGTCTTTGATCTTGCACCCATGATAATTGGAAGGCCAACCCTAGACTTTAATCCAACACCACTCTTTCTATTTTACCTTTGAGCCATGTTAGGGGCAATCGCCTCTTGCACTCTCCGACCAACACTTCCTTTTTCATTGGGCCACGTAAGCTTGTTTCAGGCTTTGAAGGGCAACCTTTGACGGACCAGAATAACGTGGCCCAATAAAAGTGAAAGTGTTGGCCGGAGAGTGCAGAAGGCGAGTGCCCCTAGCACTCCTCTTTTATCTTTAATACATTCCTCTCTTGAACCGTCATTCTCTCTCCCTCAAGATTTTCAATTTTCTAATCCCTATCTTCATATCAAGCTTAGATTTTACAATAGGTTTTATTTTGTTCTTTGTATTTGAGAATCAATAGAGGAGAATAATGAGATGAAATATTATGAAATTTTCCTAATTTTCATGGGAGTAATCATAAAAAATGGAGAGGAATTGAAAAGTGTTGCAATTTGTATTGATGGTTTGCAGAAATATGAAGGACTAAAGAAAGTTTTTGGGTTGTAATTAAAAATGAAAGGTGGATGACGATAGGGTGGGTGAGTTTGAGAAAGACCCATCGAATTCTATTCTTGCCATTCAACTCCAAAGAAATGTTCTCCAGTAAACTTATACCACACATTCCTCTACAAATTTAATTTCACTGTAAATTTGTCCTCATAATCTTCATAACACAAAAGGAACCCACCACTTCTACCAACACCGACGATGGCCACATTATTAGAAATAAAAAAAAAAGAATAATTTGAAAAAAGGTTTGTTGCTTTCTTAGTTTTATTGTATATACAAAGGTTTTATATATATTTGTACAAGAGAATATTTCTAGGTATAAAACCATACAAGAGAATCTTCTTAGGTATAAAATCAATTAACTTAAATGTATATAATAAATTATAATGTAAATATAATATTCTAAAATAAATATTGATATTCTATATTCTAATATCCCTCTTCAAACTCAAGGTAGTGGTGAGCAAACCAACTTGAGTTTGGAAAAAAGAGTTCGGAAGTGTCTAGGGAAGTGAGACTTGGTAAACAAATCAACGATTGATCAATAGAACTAATGAAAATCAAATGAATAGTTCCCTTTGCAACATGATGATGAATAAAGTGACAATCAACCTTGATATGTTTTGTGCGTTCATGGAAGACATCATTGTTAGCAATCTGTATAGCACTTTGATTATCACAATATAAATCAATAGAAGAAGACTAAGGAATGCCCATATCTTCAAGAAGCCATCATAATGAAAAAAGTTCTAATGTGGTATCATTGAGAGCTCTATACTTAGCTTCAGTACTAGAACGAGATGGAATAGTTTATTTCTTACTCCACCAAGAAATAAGAGAATTACCAAGGAAAAGACAATAACCGAAGATAGATCCATGATCAAAAGGATTACTAGCCCATTCAGCATCAGAATAAGCATGAAGCATAAGAGAAAAGTTAGTAAAAAAATGGAGTCTATGAAACAATGTTCCCTTAACATAGCGAACAATGCAAAGTACTACTGCATAATGGGTGGAGCGAGAAGCAGCCATAAACTAACTAACAATGTGAACTACACATGCTATGTAAGGGCATGTTGTGGTAAGATAAACCAGACTACTAACCAGTTGTCGATAGTGAGTAAGATCAGAAAGTGGAGAGCCATCCATAGGTGTACGCTTGGTATTAGACTCAAGAGGTGTAGAAACACTCTTGCTATTATTGAGTTCAGCCTTAGAAACAAGATCGAAGGCATACTTTACTTGAGAAAGCAGGTAGCCATCATTTGAAGAGGTGACTTCAAGCCCTAGAAAATATCTTAGAATACCAAGATCTTTCATTTCAAATTTTTGACTACGAGATTGTTTTAGCTCCTTAACACCTCATATATCATCTCCAGTAATAATCATGTCGTCAACATAAGGAAGTAAAAGAACCATACCCTAAGCAGTCTTACGAATAAACAAAGCTATATCATGTGGACTCGAAGTAAAACCAAACTCACTCACAGTAGCACTAAACTTTGCATACTAGGCTCGAGGGGATCACTTCAACCTGAATAATGAACATTGCAATCGACATACCTTGTTTGAAGGATGGTTAAGCCCAGGAGGTGGTTTCATATAAACTTCTTCTTCTAGGTCACCATTAAGAAAAGCATTTTTCACATCCATTTGAAACAATTTCCATCTCCATATAACTACGATAGCAAGCAAACTACGCATAGATGTGAGATGAGCAACTGGAGCAGATGTTTCCTCATAGTTTATTCTATACTCCTATGTAAAACCCTTGGCAACTAAACATGCCTTATAATGCTCGACAAAACCATCAGATTGTGTTTTGATCTTGTACAGCCATTTATAGCCTATTAGAGACTTTTTAGCAGGGAGATCAACTAAATCCCATGTATGAGGGTTCTCAAAAGCCTATAATTCATCTTGCATATCTTGTTGCCAAAGAGGTTTAGCAGAGGGCATGCAATATGATTGAGGCTCATGTAAGGAAGTAATACAAGGAAAACAATGATAATCACGAAGGTAGTTGGGAAGGTTTCTTACCCAAGTAGGATGACTTAGGGATGAGACAACAAACTCATTTTTAGACTCAACAATATCAGACGCAACATCAACAGGTGATACAAATGAGGAAGTAAGGGAAGGCTCAAAATTGTCTAATGTATTACCAGTAGGCATATCATCTTCTATAGAACTAGTTGGAGCATGTGGTGAGGCATTATAAAGCTCATCAAATGTACTTGTATCAAAATCACTAGGAAATATTTCAACAGAAGGGATAGTAAAAAATGGAGGTTGAGAAAAGAATGACACTTTGAAGTTTGACAATGATAAGAACACAGTGTGTTCCCAAAATATAACATGACATAAAACTTGGAGTTTTTGTGACACATGATCCAACAACGATATCCTTTTTGTATAATTCCATAACCCAAAAAAATCATAATTGAGCTCTAGGCTCTAACTTGTTATGTTCATGAGGTGGAAAAAGAACAAATCATGCATAACCAAAAACCTTAAGAAGATCATAGGTAGGAAGAATACCATGTAAACACTTGTATAGGGACTAGATATTAAGAACTAATGATGGAATGCGATTAATGAGATAAATAGTTGTAAGAGCAACTTCACCCCAAAATCGCTCTAGACAAGAAGAAATGAGCAGAGCACAAATAAAATCTAGGATGTGTTTGTGTTTGCATTTGGCTCTCCATTCTATTCAGAAGTATAAGGACAAGTTGCAAAGGAGAAAGATAGCTATCAATGGGCACCAAGGGATATTGCTTGTTTTATGGCATCAAGGGATATTAGACTTGTTAGAAGAGCAGAAAGTAAAGCTTTTACTGAGCTGTCAAAGTTGCATGGTCGAGACGAGATTAAGAACGACATAGTAAACAATTGGCTGGTTGGTAGCAGTGATGAAATAGAGAGTGATGTCAAGACCACCTCGGTCGTAGACATGGGTGGGGTTGGAAAAACTGCTCCTGCCCAACTCATTTACAATGATCATGCAGTTGAGACCCATTTTGACAGGAGAATATGGGTTTCTATATTAGAAAACTTTGATGAAAGAAGAGTTGCAGAAGAAATTCTTGAAGCTCCTGATAAAAACCCTTTTAAGAGATGATCTCAGTAAGCTTTCATTGCATGCTTCTAGAAACAATCTGCAAATCTGTTAAGGGCAAGAAGGTTTTTCTTGTTCTGGATGATTTGTGGACAGATGAATGCAAAAGTTGGGAACAACTAAATCAAGGTTTCAAACCTGCTGCATCTGGAAGTAGGATTTTGGTGACAACTAGGAAGGATACAGTTGTGAAGGCCATGAACTCCGTTCGTAAATTTCCTTTAAAACAGCTGAGTGGCAGTGTATGTTTGAAGATAATTAGCCAAGAAGCATTCATCGGAAGAAATGAGGAACAATGTAGAAGTTTAGAGAACATTGGAAAGAAGATTGCAGAAAGATGTAGGGGATTGCCACTAGTTGCAAAGACTCTATGAGGCATGTTGCGGTTCAAGAAAACAAGAGATGACTGGAAAACTATCTTGAACATTGAGATATGGCAGTTAGATTTGCTACAAAAGGATGTATATGTTCCTTTACTGTTGAGTTTCTTTGATTTGCTGCCAGCAGTAAGACGATGCTTTTTGTATTGTTGTATCTTTCCTAAAGATTTTTTGATTGAAAGGGATAACGTGATTTATTAGTGGATGGCACAAGGTTATTTAAGTTCTGATGAGAATGCAGAGAAGGAAATTAGGGGAGCTCAGTACTTTGATTGCTTGGTGGAATGGTCCTTCTTTCAAGATCTTGAAATATTTGAAGGTAGCATATGGGGTTGCAAGATCCATGACATAACAGTTGACTTTGCCAAATTTTTGATGGGAAATGAAGTTGTGTCCGAAGATCTCCATTCTGATGGGAAGCTTTCTTTAGAGAACACTCGTCATCTATTAGTAAGGCAGATGCGTGGGACAAGTTTTCCTGTGCTTCTTGCTGCAGAAAAGTTATGGAGCCTGACCATCTTCGACATTCATGAAGAAGAAAACAGTCAAGCTTTGTGCAAATTATTTATTGAACCAAAACGTGTGCGTTCATTGAATTTCTATGGGGCTCAAATTGGTGGATGGCCAAAAGAAGTGGGAAAATTGATGCACCTTAGATTGCTTAACTTGTCTCATAGTATGTTCGCAAGATTGCCTGAAGCAGTATGCGAATTATGTAATTTGCAATCTTAACTTATGCCGCACAGTGAATTTCTACGGGAATTACCGAATAAAATGCAGAAGTTGGTACCATTAAGGCATCTTGATACAACTGGCTGTAGCAGTTTGACTTACTTTCCCAGAGAAATTGGAAGATTAACTACCCTTGGGGATTTATGGGGGATTAAAGTTGGACTTCATCACACAATCGACAACGCATTTAGATTGGGGGATTTAGAAAACTTGTGTCACCTTCGTGTTTTGATGATGAAAATAGTTGGAAGTAAGACTGATGCTAATGAAGCCAGACAGGCGAAGCTGCAACGTAAGATTCATCTCAAATATTTGGAGCTAATTCTTGATGATTCCAAGGATGAAAGTAATTTTACTAAAGTCTTGAACCCACCTTCACACACAAAAGTGAGAACGAGTACCAATGAAAGAAGAAAGAGACGGAAGCAAACTATAAGCACTTGATCCATTGTTTCTTTTATTAGCTTAAAATGTAAAGATATAAATTTTATTATTTTTTAATTTAAATATGTGAATTTTATTTAGTTTTAATAAAATAATAAATTTTTAATTTTCTTATTTAGAAATATCAATTTTGAAGATTAATTAGATAGTTAAAAAAATTATTTGTTATGTAGCATCGTCATCTAATTAATATTTATATAAAAAAATTAGAGTTTTTAAATAAAAAATAAAAAATTTATTATTGTATTTAAAAATTGATAAAATTAACATTATTACATAAAAAATAACAAAATTCATATCTTTATTTAGAGCTTTACACATTTCCTCTATTCTCCTTCTCCAAATCACACTTACTAGTTTTTGCATTTATTTTGCAGGAATGATGCTATGCTGGTATGAGGCAGCTCTCCACATTAGGGAAGCTGGGGAAGCAAAGAACATGTAAAATATTTTGCTTTTAGCTCTTGTAGAATGGTTCTCTTTAGGAGGGTTTGCACTTAAGAAATCAGTTTAGGATGGAATTTTTTTTAAAAAAAAAATCTAAACAGAAGTTTTTACGTGCGGAACGGACAAAAATACATTTCTGTTTTTCATTTTATTACCATAAATTAGGCAACTATTTTGTGTCTGCAGCTTTCAGGTTAAAATCTTATTTGATCTCTCAACTTTTATGTGGAGTTCATTTTCGTTTTAAATTAAAAATATTTTTTTTAGTCCCTTAAGTTTAACCTTTCAACCTTTTTAGTCCTTTCGTGAAGTTTTTGTTAACTTAGAGCATCAATTAACAAAACTACCTGATTTCATTTTTGGACAATGATTTATGCACCCGCCAGTTCGACACTCGGTAAGTGCACACTACACAAACCAAATAATTTTAAAAGTAAAATTACAAATTTACCCTCCTGACTAAACCCATGTTCAAAATGACAGCTGTACCAAGTTCCCACCTTCTTCCTCTTTTTTTTTTTTTTCGTCTTTTCTTCCAGGTTCTCCAAGAGGACCCAGATCAGATTCTCCTGGAGAAACCCAGATTGGGGTTTTGCTGGAGAACCCAATTTGGGTTCTCTAGATGGAGAGAAAAGAAAAAAATGGAAGAAGGAAAAAGGAAGAAGATAATGAATTTGTTAGAATAGGAAGATGGAGAGACAAGAAGAAAAAGGGGTATTGTGAGGAAGATGACTTTTAAGGGCAAATTTATAATTTTATTCTTATAATTATTTGATTTTGTAGAGTGTGCAATCCTGAGTGTCGAACTGGTGGGTGCACTAATCATTTTCCTTCATTTTTATATGAATGATGTGAAAATCCACGTGATCGAAAAAAGGAAAAATGATATGGATGAAATTTTGAATTCATGTTAGCATATATAAAACTAGGGGTTTTCTAATTTATATTTTTACGACACAAATTAAATCTCATTTATTGTAATATCTATGATTAATTTTATACAAATTTTTATATTAAATTCAAGTAAAATATAATATAAAATGTAAAAACAAAATAAAATATAATATTTTATCTCAAAATCTATAAAAACTTACAAAGTTGATATAAAAATTTATGTAAAATTAATTAAAAATATCCTAATTAATGACTCTTAACCCATGCTTCAAGGGCACAGGAGGTAAACTATAAAACTATTGGGTTTCTTGTAAAAAATTATTGCATTAATTAAACCTTTAAGTTTAATAAGATTAAAAGAAAAATGAAAACACAATAATTTCTTCTTTATTCTTCCAAAATCATATGCAAATTCTCAATTTTTTAAAAATCATTTGGGTGGGGTTCAACACCTAGATTTCTCACTTCAAGTTCAAAATTAAAACACAATTTTCATTGCAGATCTCCAATATAATTTCGCTACAAATTACCACTTTAAGTTTCTTGAATTTTCTCTGGCTTTCTAGGAAACCAAACAACAAAAACCACTTCCAATCAAGAAAAAAGGGTTTGAAGAATGTGAGTAGTGAGCTACGGACGGTGACGACTAACAAGAGTGGTGATTAGTGACCGACAAACACGAGTAATGAGAAGTGATCCGCCAATTCGGGCACTAATGAATGTGACTGGCGAGGAAAAGATCTGTGGCTCTAAAATTGAGAACCAGACTTGAGGCTTTTAGCCAAAGTAACCAAGTCAGATCTTAGATGGATTGAGATTGAGAATGAGAAAGGGAATAGGAAAGAGAGTAAGAAAGGGAAAGGCAGAGGGTAGGGGTAACCGTTGTTGGAATTGACAAACCAAAGGCTAGAATTGTCCCACTTTGCCTTGGAGGAAACTATTGTTGTGTCTGCGATAGTTGTAAACATGGGTTGGAAGCTTAGTCAAACTCTAAGGAGATGAGGTAGGCGATGTAAATTGCCAGGACAATAAAGAGCAAAGAAGGAATCTTGGCAAGCTAAAATGACTCGGGCCAAAATTCACTACTGACCTAATAATTCTTCGGGCCTTCTACAAACTTAAACTCAAGTTGTTTATAGTAGTCATTGTTTCTCACTCATATATATCAATCACACTTGCATTTCCATTCTAAAGTTGTTTTTAGCAAATAGTTAATGTGTGATGACATCAGCATAGACCCACACCTACAAGAAGTAACCTCTTGAATACTAACTAAAACAACTTAGGTCGAAGTCTATCATTAGACTAACAATTCTTCAGATCAGAGTTTGTAAGCCCTTAAGCTCAAATTGTTATCACACTTACACTTCCATCCCAATGTGAGATTCAAGGCATTAGAGTAAGTATGGTGAAAGTGCCATGGCTGAGGAAGAGAGAAAAAGAAGGAATCTTAGTGAGCATGGTCATAGTGACATGGCTAAGGAAGAAGGAAGGATGGAAGGGGAAGGGTCTAGATGAAGGAGGGCAAACGGTGATTTTGTAATATCATATATATATATATATTTTTTGTATTTAATTTAAATGGGTCCCATTTTGTCACATGTAATTAAACAAGTTTTAAGACCTACATTAACAACAAATTTAGTCTACATCATTTTAATTTCTTTTTTATAGCATGGCATTTTCATGTCAATTATAATAAGAAAAAGTAAACTTGTTCTGTAAGTTAAGATGCCACCTCATTGAAAAGGCTTACAGAAGGATTGAAAAGGGTAAATAAATTAATTTTGAGGGACTAACAATTGGATTTTTTCAGTTGAGGAACCGAATAGATGTTCCTTTCAAAAGTTGCGGGATTAAAATGAGATTTTAACCATAGCTTTCATGTTCTCGTCTTTATGTTCTTTCTTCAATACGTTGCTTTCTCTGTTGGACTTTTGAACGCGAGGCCATGCAACCTCTTTGACACTTTATGATAAAATATGAGGAACACGTATGTAACTTAAACATAAAATATGCTATTTTTTTAAATGTTAGATTTACTAGTAAGAAAGTGTTGTTTTGTAAGTTTTCAAGTTTTGAGTCTTGCTTGCCAAAGATACCATGTGGCTGTGCTATCTAAAACCTTATCACTGTGAGTAGTGATGGCATTGATATTTTTAATTTTCTCCAAATCAAAGATAAATTCCTGGACCAAATGTAAACCTTTCAAATTTGTTGGAGGTTGGAATGGAATTTTACCTCAATATTGTACAGTAAGAACATTAGTTAGCTTAGTTAATTGACTTTTAATATCTTTGGTTTCTTTAATAGCTCGGGTAAAATAGAATCGAATTTTTGCTTAGTCATATTCTATGCCTCCATAAATTCATTAAGTATTTCCTCTAGAGGAATCCTATCCGGTTGTGCATTGTATTGAGATGCAAGGTGAGATCCAGCTGTTGACAATTATTTAAAGTTCCAAAGTTAAAAAAAAAAAAATTAAACTTTAATGATTTGAAAATCACACTCACAATTTGTCTAAATCATGAGGTGGAACAAGTCATTTAAAATAACCTATGTAGAGATTATAGTCCAAGGTATGGTTAGGAATGACAAGAACATACGTGCACCTCACAATCCTTCATAGAAACTGCAGTTACATATTTTAAAATTAAAGGTCTTATTTCAACTTATAAAAACATCCTTTATTTATTTATTTACTAAAAAGGGCTTATTTGGAAGACTTTAAATATGCATGGATGTGGGTGGAGTTTAAAAGCTCATGTACATTACTACTAGAATATTGCCCTTTTTCCAATGCTTATTTTCCAGCATAGTGCTAGCAAATGATAAACTTAATTTCTAGTGCATTATGCAAGAAACTGACGGTTGCTAACATATGTCCAATTTTACCTTATTATTTGAGTGAGACAATTATTTTCCAATGATGGGCATAGGAAAATAGTAATGTGCCAAAAAAATTTTTGCGCACTTTTTATTTTCTAGCGCTTAACATTCGAAAATGAAAATGAAAAAGATATTAACTATTTAATTTCTTAAAAAATGATCAACAAGTAAAAAGATTAAACACAAGATTTTCCAATGCAACACATAGGAAAATAATAATTTAATGGTCACAGTTAGATATTGAGTAACTAAGTAATCTTGAGGGTAATCATAGGAAATATGAGAGAGAGAGGTTCGGGCAACAAACACCAATTAAGGACAAGATGGACAGCATTGGGTAAAGAGGATGCAAGACTCCGACAATGAAGCCGGCAAACGTGGTTGGCGGGCACAGAATAGAGAAGACTGGGCAGACAACAAAGGATTTACAAGGAATGGGGGTATGATAAGGGGTTATACAAACAGGCCACAACTTTTTTCTTCACAAATATCCCTGATGACTGGAGTTACACAGATATGTGGACAACTTTTAAGAAGTTTGGAAGGGTGTTTGTAATTTACAGCCGACTTAGAAGAAGTAGGAATGGAAGCAGGTTTGCTTTTGTTAGGTTCCTAGACGTAAAGAATGAGAGGGAACTTGAAAGGAAACTAGACCAGATCCAAGTTGAGGGATGTAAGATCTTGGTTAACTTAGCTAAATATCCAAAATAGGAGACTGGAATAAGGAAGAAAAGAACAGGAGTTACAACAAATTCTATAGCTCAAGGGAAGTCCTATGTTGATGCAGTTAGAGGGTGTGAGGAATCTAGATCACGAAATATAGAGGGGCAATTGCTAAATATAAGGACAGAGCATGAGTTGGGAAGCTACAAAAATAGAGAGAAGCTGAAGCAACCAGAATGTCGATAGGAGTGGAAAATAAACAACAGAGACGTAGAATGGTTGGGTATTGAGTACAATGTGAAAGAGGAAGACTATGAGTGGCTACAAGGATGCTATGTAGGGACTGCTCACTCAGTGGAAATTATTCCAAATCTCCAAGAGAAATTCTATATGGAGGGCTACTTCTCTTGCTGTCTTTGGGCTATGGGGCAAAAAATGATCCTAATGGATTGTGAAGATAGAGAAGAAATAAAAGACTTACTGTAAGGTGTCTTAGACTTGCTGTAGGGTGCCTTAGACTTGCTAGGACAATGGTTCTCAAATGCCTGAGCCTTGGTCACCATTTACAGTGGCGAAAGAAAGGTTTGTGTGGATTAGGTGCCAAGGTGCCCCATTGCACGCTTAGGGTCTTGATTTTTTTGAGTCCATGGCATTTGCTTGGGGAAAGCTCATTTGTTTGGATGATAGCACCAGCAAAAAAAGATGATTTGACATAGCTAGATTTCTTATCTCCACCTCCATAATGGACTCAATTTCAGTCAAATGTCAGATTAAAGTTAACGGAGCTATGTACAATTTAAAGTTCACGGAGGAGGAAATGACCAATAGCTTATTCTCATTGAAATATGACTTTTTACCAAACTTTGATAGTGAGCTAGATAATGAAGAAACATGGTCAGGTGGTAGTGATTATGATGAAGGAACTGAAGGCAACAATGAAGATGAGGTCTTGGAGCTCGTTGCCGAAGAAGAAGAAGGCGGTGCAGACAGATTGGAGCAAAGGGGAAAGGACAAAGGGGCTAACTACCATTTCAAATTACAAGGTAGAGTTTGAATCACAAAGGGAGAGATTTGACATGAGACAAGACAATAAGACAGATAGGTTTCTCATAGCTAGCTTATAAAAGAAGACTCTATAGAAGTTGTGGCAGATAGTATTAATGTGGAGAAAGAAGTGAATAATGAAAGTGACAACGATGACATTGAGACAGGTGAATCTAATTTAAAAACCAAATATCAGAGGAGCACATACACGTTAGAAAGCATGAGAGGAAGTGGATTGGGCTTACAAGAGAAGCCTATTAAAAAAGGATTGAGCCAAATACTAAGGGTAGAAGTAGAAGTGGAGAGGGCTAAATAGGCCAACGAATCCATTGAAAAAGAATAGAGGAGAAATGATATTAGGCCTAACTTCAAATCAATAAGAGAGGATCAACAAAAAGCTACAGGATGACAGGAGAAAGGGAGTCACCAGAACAACAGCCCATCCAAGATAGAGATGGGGAGCGATGGTGGCAGCAGAAAGGAGTAGATGGATAACAACAACAAACTAGAAAAGAAAAGGAAGAGAAAGAGTGCAAAAACATGTAGGTCGATGTACAAAAGAGTAACACTCCTAGGATTGATGAACCAAAAGAAGGGAAAAGGAAAATCCAAGCTGAGACAAGCAGATAGAAAAGGGATTCCAGAGTTCCTAGCAAGCATGAGCAACTTGGTGGTGGGAGGTTCAGTGGGCAACAGTGGAATAGAAAACTATGACTGGGTTGCTAAGGATTCTACGGGAATGTTTGGAAGGCTGTTGTGTGTATGGAATTCTAAAATTCTCAGAAAAACCCATATTATGGAAGGAGAAATTTTTATTGATATTGAAGGGGTGTGGGGTTCTGAGGAAGTCCCAGTGAACATTGTCAATGTGTACTCCCCATGCCAATTACTTGGAAAAAGAGCCTTATGGGAGGAGTTAAA